GTTTTTTTTAACTTTTTTTCAGATAAACACATTGTTACACACACTACACACACACACACACACACACACACACACACACACACACACACACACACACACACACACACACACACACACACACACACACACACATGCTGACCTTTCATATTACACAGACGTCAATTTCGGCTCTGTGACTTTTCTACTGTTGTAAATATAGATTATAGCAAACTTGGAACCCATTGGTTTCAGTCACGGTCAATATTTCTAGTTTGCTGGTGTGCGATAATGGATAATGCCTCCAGGCTTCCTCCTCTGTACGCTGGTCATTGTCTCCAGGATTGAGGTTTGATTTGAGAAAAATATCTAAGTCTAAAATATTTCACAAGTTGCATGCCTCTTTTGCTCTCCAATGCAGCCATTTTTAACTGAATGCAAACAAAGCCTACTCAGACATTGCACTATACTGGAACATAATTGCATAAAAGGCTCTATGAATTAAAACACTTCCATTAACCAAAATCCGTGTTGCCCTAAAGATGCTGTATTCATATTCAGGTTGGAGAGTACTTCAGAATAATACTTAGTAGAGTGCTCCAACAGTTTCAACAAAGCACTGTTAGCATTAACTTTCCTGACTGGACATCCGTCTCCCTTTCTCTGAAAGCTACACATATTTTCACATATAGCTTTGGGTGCTGATAAGATGGGTGTGGGTGGCCTTCCCCAGTTGTTTTGGGGATTTTCTATTGAGGGTTGACATATGGAGACAGCACAAACAGACATTGTTCCATTCCTCAGAAAGTTGAACCTGCATTGTCTGCATCCTGATCACCTGTTGTTGTTTTTTAAAAGTTTGAAATGGAGGAAATAACACAAAAAACTGATGCCCAAAAACAGGACAATGGACGAAAAGAACAAAAGGGATTCCAAGTTGTCGTTGTGCGTGAGTTTGAGCTGGCAGACAAAGCAGAGATACATCGGATCTTTTCTGAAGGGCTGATGGAGAGGGTAGTGGACGCCGCTTTCCGAGGCTTGAGATATCACCCAGAAAGTCTCCTGCTGTATACTGCTTTGACAGGTAATATGAAGATATAAATGAATTGCTTTTGCGATTGCTTTGTCTTTCAAAAGGAACACTTTTGTGTACACAAACACTCAGCATATCTTCCTTTTTTACCCTTTTTATTTGTATGTAACTTTCAAATTCATTTATGTTTTCTTGTTGCTTTCTGTTGGATAATTCTCTTGTCATTCCAATATGTAGGCCACAATTTGACCAATAAAGTTAAAATTCTACAACTTGACATTTTCTTTACATCCATACATCTTATCAATATCTTTCCTCTGGCAGTTGTCTGTTTTGTCAGCACCATGTGTTGGTGGGTGATAGGACTCCTCCCTGCATTAGTGCTCTGTGGCCGCTACTTCTACAGCAGACGTGCGATCCTTGACTACCTGGAGCACGCTATGAGCGGAGACATGGGCAACATGGAGGGATTTTACATGAAATCACCAGGTATTGTTTTCTTGTATAATTTCACGTACATGTATCAAGCGGTAACCACAAACTTCGATAGCATATCTGTTACAATGCTTTTAGTTTCCATTTCCTCAAATGATGAAGGGAGAATAATACAATTTATGCACTGGAGAGTTGCATTTCTGTAATTTATTACAGCCAAAGTTGTGCATTTAAATACCTTGTCATAATTTAGGAATAAAAGTGCAAAATGTAAGCTGAGATACTGTTCAACCTTATTTTGTTCTTACTAGCATGATTATCCTACAAGGCAAGGGCCAAGAGGTTGCATGTATCAGGGGCCCGATTGCCTTCCCTATACCAAATGACATACAATTACTACAAGAAAGCTGCAAAGAAACACAATAAACTCACAACGTCTCTGCAAAACAACCACAAAGAGAGAAAAAATGACTACGAAGAAACAAACAAAAAACACTGTGTGTGGCCCTTTGCTTGTCTGTGCCCCAGGGCCTGTAAAGCTGGTAGTTGTGTTGCTTATTGAACGTTTTAGTGGGAAAATGTTTCTGTCAAGTTGCTACAAAGCAGTTTCTGATAATGGACACAAAAAAATTAGTTTACTAGCTATGCCACTCACTTAATGTAACATTATGGTCACAATATATTAGTAGCAAGTTGGTCTATTATTTGTTCTTTATATTTAGTTTTCAATAAATAGTTTATTGATATATATATACATTTTATAATGTTAATATATATTTATATTTAAGGTGTATTTGCTATGATCTATCTTAGTGTTTCCTGTTTCATTTAGAAAAGGTTCTCTCACCCTGTGTGATATCTGTTTTTACTTCCTGTCTTTGTATTTTCCCGCCCTTTTTGTGCTTGTTTGACCCGTCCTGATTGTTTCCACCTGTGTATAATCACCCTTTGCGTTTTGTGCCTACCCTTTCCAGCTGTTTCTTGTCAATGTTATTAGTCCTGTCTGAGTACATGCATTTATTGTCCTGTCCTTGTTCCTGATGTGGTCAGTCTGTCTGTATTTGTCCCTGGCTGATTCCTTGCATTGCTGCCCTTGTTCCCTGTGCCATCCCTGTATGTCTTTCAATTCATTTGGATACTTTTGCTTGTATTTCCTTCCTGTTTCCTCAGTGCTTTTGTGTTTTCCAATTTGTGTTACAAACTTGAGTTCATTAAAGCTCACTTTTGGTTTTGAATACCTACCACCATTGTGTCTCTGCTTTAGGGTCTAATCTGCTAAAAATGTATTTTTAATTTTTATTTCTTCAATCATGTGCAATGCCTTGCTAATATGCTGCTGCTATTACATTTTTAGCAGTTCAACAAGAGCATCTAACCTAATTGTTGGAGATGCCAATGTTCCTTGATGCTGTGAAATTAAGTTATAAACTGTCTCATCTATGTCACTTTCCTTGGCCCCCACCTTAGCCTCCTGTCTTTGGGTAGCAGTGCTGGAGGGCAAAGTGGTGGGTTTGGTAGCAGCAGTGGACCAGAAGCAGCCAGGGGGGGCCGTCACGCTGCAACGGATGTCTGTTGACTGGAGATGTCGCCGGTGTGGAGTCGGTGTGGCGCTGGGAAGGAAGGTTCTGGAGTTCGCTGTCACTCATGGATACTCCAGGGTTGCCTTGGGAACCACAGCCTACTCGCCTGCTGTCCACAAGCTCTACCTGCGTCTGGGCTTCCGCTGTGTGGGGGTCACTATCGAGAACGTCACACCTGGTGCAAATTGGTCCGTACTTGAACAGATTTTCTACAGGGTTCGCCAACATCAATATATCCTAGATGTTCAAAATAACGGCATCACTTCAAATAAACAAAATTAAATTGGAAGGAATGTAAAATAAAGAGATGTTTCAGTCTGTTTGAAAGCTTATCTCAGTAACTACCCATTATAAACTTGTATGACATCTTCTATGCAAGAAATGCAGTACTGAATAATTATAATATCAAAATCAGTACCCATAATTGAACTGTGCAGATTTACATCAATGAACACTGCAGCAGATTCAAAAGGTGCCAATTTTCTTTTACTCTTGTTATTATTTTGTCCCCTTTGTTCTGCATCATTGGTTGTTCACATTCCTTGCACTTCGAGCAATACAATTGCTAACAAAGCACTTATATACTAACAAAGGGCTGGCTTATCTAAAGCCAGTTGAGTAGCACTTGAAATGTTTGGCTCTATGAAACCTGATGTACCAGTGCATGACATTAAGGATTTTGGGAGATGGCCCTGTGGGCCATCTAAGCTAATTTACAGATGGCCCTGAGCCCAATAGAGATTGACCTGAAAAATGCGCGCGGACGAAATGGCACACGAAGGGTTCGGGGGCCTCCCCCTAGAAAATTTAGATTTGTGCAGGTCTTATATGCGGTCTGGTGCATTCTCTAGACGGAATTATAAGATGAACCACCACAATATTATATTGTACAATTGAAATGTTATTCTTCATTTCACTTGCCCTGCATAGCTATAAGAAATACTTAAGTTGTTGGTCAAGACACTTTCCATCTGATGAAGGCAAATGCCTTCCCAGATGTAAAAAAGTATAAAACATTACATTCAGTTATAACTGCCAAAACAAACATTATTTACACTATTATGGCCCCTGTTAAAAATGTTTGTAATGTTATCTACTGTAAGTTGGTCGAACGAATGCCTCCTCATCGGGAAGCTGACCAAGCAGACCCGAGCAGCAGTCGAGAGGAGCGGAGCGCATCCGCGAAGCACACAAAATGGCGACGTCAGAGTTCCCATTAGCCGGCAAATCTAAATCTCTTCGGTCAAAATAATTTCCCTTTAGCGCAATACCGTTTCAGTTGCGCCACTTATGTGACAGACAAGAAGAGTATGTGACAGACAAGAATAGTCAATTCTAATGTCTAACACACGGATGTGGAGAAAGAGATGTCCTGTATGGGTTGATTGTGCGTTGATCTGTTGGTAATGCCTCGGGGTTCCGGTGGGCATGTAAACAAATGTATAATGCTGCGCTATACTTTGTGGACTCACCCAGTTGCATAGCGACATTTATTGTTTAGGTGTCTTTTAATAAGCAGGAAGTCCTATCATTAGCTAGAACTAGCTGGATCTGATCAATATGGACATAAACGCGAGAGAAGTCTAATCTTACGGGAGAGAGAAATCAGCTGCTGCTCTTGGCTTTCGCTCTTCCAAACATTTGGAGCAGGGCAGGTGGCAACACTGGACTGTGACTGGATGAGAGATGGCAGAGGGAAGTGACGGGGCAGGAAGCGAGTTAGGAGACATGGAAGGAGTAGGTGGGAGTTATGGAAATGGAGAATGGGATATAGTGAGGAGGAATAAACGTAAAAAGCAAGGAAATACTAATTCGGATGAGAGTAATAGTGAGGGTGAAAGGAGAGAAAGAGTAGTCGGAAATAGGCAACAGGAGTTCATGGTGGTTGTGAAACTTGCGAAAGAGGGAGCTTCGTTTGGCGAGTGGAACCCTATACGGTTA